TAGCATTTTACAATTTGAAAAACTTCATCAATTTTCTCTGTTAGCTTCATAAACAACCTAGTGTAATGTCCCAAATAGTTTCATCATTTTATAAATGCATATAAGGGAAGACCAAAAGAAGTGTCTAAGTCTCCTAAAACATATAAAATAAAAGCAAGAGATTCAGAGAAGAGCAGGGCAAATAGTCCATAAATAATGGCCTGACTGATGAGATGGATCTTTATAGCTCAGGTAATGACAAGGAGATGTTGTTTACTGGTCTAGAGGTGAAGATTACTTTTTTCTTCTTTTCATTAAGGTGCAATCCATACTGAAGGCAGTGGTCTTTGATCTTCATCAGTAAATATTTTAAGTCCGCTTCACTTTCAGCAAGAAAGGTTGTTTCATCAGTGTATCTCAGGTTGCTAATGAGTCTTCCTCCAATACTGATGCCACATTTCCATTCATATAATCCAGCTTCTTGGATTATGTGAGAAAAGACTGAAGTTGTGAACACTTCATCATGCTCAGATCAACCACTTTGTGTAATTATGATCTTTGGTGTAAATGGAAGCAGCAGTCAAGAAACCAAACAACGTATTGCATTAGGCAAATCTGCTGAATAAGACCTCTTAAAAGGGTTCAAGAGCAAATATATCAGCTTGAGGATTAAGGTGCGCCTGATTCAACCTATAGCATTTTCAATAACCTCGTATGTATATGAAAGTTGGACAATGAATAAGGAAGACTGCAGAAGAACTGATGCATTTGAGTTGCAGTGTTGGAGGAGAATATTAAAAGTACCATGGACTGCCAAAAGAACAAATAGATCTGTGTTGAAAGACGTACAGGGGAGTGCTCCTTGGAACCAGGATGGCCAACTTCATCTCTCATACTTTAGACATATTATCAGGAGGGGCCAGTCCCTGGAGAAGGACGTCATGTTTGGTAAAGTGGAGGGTCAGAGTAAAAGAGGAAGACCATTCCCCCAACTAGATGGATTGGCCCAGTGACAGCAGCAATGGATTCAGGCACAGCAATGTTGTGTGGTTGTCACAAGAATGTGCAGTGTTTTGTTCTGTTATGCGTAGGGTCACTATGAGTCGGTACTGACTTGATGGAACCTAACAACAACAACAGCAGCAACATGTAATATTCTGAGCTATGTCTAAAAATATGTGTATGTGGAACTTTGACAAAGTTACTTAATGAAAAGATACACTGTCATTATAATATTACGTATTCTACAAAACTAGCTTGGCTCTTTGGGATTGAGTATGGCTCTATTTCTAACCTTACACTGCTCGTATTGAAAATATGGTCTGTGGAACTGTTAAAATAACATCATAAAGGTTGAGTTGGAACACTACCTACACTTCCATTTTCCCCTTGATTTATCAAGTGAACTACATGGTGTAAACCCAACAAGGTAACCATGAGATGAATCTCTACCAGTCATGTATGTGTCCAATAGCAGATGAACTCCTTTGCTCGTGGGTGGTAGTGGGAAGAAGGTGGGTTCTGTACTGAAAAAAAAAAAAACCTAAGGCTTTACCATAAGCAAAGTCCTAAGGACCCATGTATCTCACAATAATGTGCATATAAATGGCCTAGGGAACTTGTTAAAATGCACCTACTTTTTCTGTAGGTATATTGGACAGAGCCTCAGGTGTCGTTACTGCAGCTGCTGATCTGTGGGTACTTAGCTTCTTTGTCCTTTGGATGAAATTTGCTGTTGGTTTCCCTTAGCTCTTTATGAAATTCCTAATGAGGATCTAGAATTTTCTCTGAGGAACGATCAAAAAAGGTATGTATAAATCAGAGTTTCTCTTTTTTTTTCTCCAGTCTGTCACCATGATTTTATGGTTTGTTTTTGTTCTTTAGAAGACTAATGGTGGTGGTGGTGTGACATGGAGTCTGTTTTGACTCATAGTGACCCTGCACAGGGCTTCTGAGGCCATAAATCTTTACGGGAGCAGAAAGCTCCATCTTTCTCCAGTGGAACAGGTAGTCGTATCGAGGTGCTGACCATGAGGTTAGCAGCCCTACTTGTAACCACTAAGCTACCAAAGTTCCTTATACTCTTCTCCAAAGGTGAACATTTACACCAAAGATCATAATTACACAAAATGAAGCATCAGTTCCCAAACTTCTTAATTGGAAGTAAAGCAGTGAAAGCAAATGTTTTGGGGACACTCAGCCAAACTCCTGTCATTGGACCACCAGAATGAAAACTCTCCCTTGTCTCCCATTGCCATTTCCGATTATTCAAGGCTATAGACTCACTGGGAGAGGATTTTTCTCCCTTTCCATTTTTACTTTCTCACTGCCAAGCATCTACTGTGGCTTCCAATGAATCAAGTTCTCCTTCCTCTCCTCCCCTGGATGCTTATGCTCCCAGTAAAATGTCACAAATAAAGTGGAAGCAAGCCTTTCCCAGGCTAGACTTGTAAACAGAAAGCAACAGAACCATTCTTCACCAGGAAACTGACCCACAAAGCTTACTGGATTCATTTAAAGAGACTGAGAAGAAGGTCAGCTAAAAGAACAAAGGGGACTCTCTCCATAGTTACTTCTGATAGAACTTCACCAACCCAGAAATAAAGCCTGGTCCAAGGCAAAGGAAATAAAAAGAGGGCATGTTAGGTGAGGGCTGGCAAGCAATTTGCAGAGCACCAGACTCTCACAGGTGACTTCTTTGCATGCTCTGTTTATCTGTCTTCTCTTTACCAGGGAATAACTGGTTCTATATTTAGTCTCTTTTCTCACTAACTGCATTTCCACACTGTAAGGTATGTAATGTTTTAAAACCTCCATTTCTTTTGAGCCAGACACACCCATAAGAGTTTATGCAGATATTTTATGTAGTAAGAATGCCTCTGGTAGGAATAAACTTTTATGCATATACTAGATGAAAATATATAAGAAGGTTTTTTTTCTTCTGAACTAACATTTTGATGCTTATATAACTTTACGATAACTATAACTTATGTTAAAAGTAACACTGACTTACAAATAACTTTTGAAGTTCATGGACATTTAAAAAAATTGAGACTGTTCCAGGTTATTCCTTACTTTGCTACATTTGGTCTTGTAATGGTTGGTTAAGCATCATGGAGTTGGTTCCAACTCATAGCGAACCTGTACAGGCTTTCTCAGGCTATAAATCTTTATGGGAGCAGAAAGCCTCATCTTTCTCTCGCAAAACAGCTGGTAGTTTTGAACTGCTAACCTTATGGTTAGCAGCCCAATTTGTAACCTCTATGCTACCAGAGCCACAATCTTGTAATACTAAAAAATAAAAGTAAAAAACTTTTAGGGCTAGTGAAGATTTATGTAGAGCACTTCACTTGTCAATGGTTAATGATTTTAAGGGAACATGAATGTTAGCAGTTGAGATGACATCCTTGAGTGTTTGCAAAACATTTTCTGAGTTATGTCCAAATCCCTTTGCAAACAGATAAATTACTCCATAAATCTTATTACTCCATGTGGATAAATCACGCATAGGTTTTACAAGGCTAGAGAACTAAAAGGGAAATTCTGCTTTCAGTGGTAGGATCTTTGGGATTCATAATCACCCAATACTCCGTAAATGAAGGAAAGAGTACTTACATGTCAGGATGTCAGAATTTTCTTATTTTTTACAATTTGGAGCAACACACATACATGCACAAAACACACATATACCCACTTTCTTCCTTAACAAGGCTAGAGATCCCAAAAGCAAGACACTCTTTGACAGCCAACCAAATTTATTTCTGAGAAAAAGAAAGAAAACTTTGCTGCTGTCGGCAGCTCTGCTATAAAACTGCTCCCTGATGCCCCAGGGTTTATGCACTATCAGCTCCTTGCACACAGATTAGAGGTTTATTGTCTAACATATACTGTTCTTTATTGCCACAACAAGCAATATTAGCTAGATAGACAGACTGACACCAGACCATTTTATTTGGATGAAATGAGATTTTAAAGAATCCCCAATGACAGTGTTTTCTTTCTTCCTTCCTTTTTTTTCCTCCAGTAACTGACAGAAATTCAAGGAAAGCTAGGAAGAAAGGCCAGGGCATGTGTAATGTGGGAAGAAGGGGAAGAAAGTCAAGAAATACAGCAATAGCACCTTGGAGATTTTTAGAACTGGAACTATGACTCAGTTCTACTGAAGTCTCTCTACCTCACTGTCTCTTCTAGGGGTCAAACTTCCAAGGACTTGGGACTCTTCCTTTCCAAATTCCAGTCCCAAATTATATTTCAGTTTGGCAAAGCTACACATTTATAAGACTTTGAGGTTTACAATCAATTAAAAATATCTGTTTTATGCCAGGTTAATTGCTTCCCAACCTCAGTGCTTAACACTCCTATTCTTAAATCAGCAGTCTGGCAAGTTTTTTTTGGCTTTAATTTAATTTTTCTCTTTTTTTTTTCCCCCCTCTCTCCTCTTTCTTTTGTTGATTTCTATAAACAATACAGTAAAGGTTCTGTAACCAACCGAAGTTCTAAGAGATTGATTGCCCTCTATGTCAATTAGAAGATCTTCACTGACAGTTTTCTAGAACTTCTAGGGCAGAGCTAGAACCTTGATGTACACACACACACACACACACACACACACACTGTGCTCTAGGAAAGGACCATGGAGAATGCCCACAGCCTACCAGTCTCTGAGAGCCACAATCCAACAACTCATCTTTGCCATTAGGGAACCCAACAAAACTCCAAATTGCAAAGCATCAGCAATTACAAAGCAAGGATACAGCCCAAATGTCACTAATGCTTGCATAGCACCAAAACAAAATCCTATGGACCAAACAACATTTAACCAGCACAACTGGTCCTTGACAGGGACCAACATTCTCTTGAATGTTGTTGGCTGATACGTCCGCCAGTCATCAGAAGTCACACACACACACACACACACACACACACACACACGCCTGCATCATCGGAACTGCGGTTCAAGATTAGCAGACACACATACACACACACATGCGCGCAGCAGAAAAGTTGCCCAAAAGCCCTACCTGAGGATGGCCGTGTCCCCCTGCCTCACGGTGATGTTGTCCGTGCCTCGGTTAAAATCCACGCTGCGAACAGGCAGTCCTGTGGGAAGAAGGCAAAGCAATCTCAGTAGGACCAGCGGCAACTGTTTCCGATCAGGCTGAACTCTGCCGACCATGGTGGCCAAGCCGAGTTGCGGTCCGCAGCCGAGTGGACTCTGGAGGAGTATGTGTGTGCGTGCTGCTGGCCGTCGAGAGGGTTTTACGAACACGGGGCTTTCATCCACGGTAAAGGCAGAACGGGCTTTTCCAGTTTATGATCCTTTCCACTTCGCCTCTCTCTTTCCCCTGCTCAGTGTCTTTCTCTCTAACACTTCACAAAGCCCTCATCAAACCCAAGCAGGGAGAAAGAAAGTCAAAGGAACGCAATTATAAAACAGAGAGTACAAATATAAAACCCTCTAGGAAAGAAGAAAACAAAGCTGCAAACAGGAGGATATTCTTCTCTGATCTGTCTGTGGCTATCGGATGCTCCTTTGCCGGTAAGGGGATGCCCAGAGTCTGGGCTGAGGTCCTTCTTGCTGTAACCCACTTTTCCGGGCGGGCAGGCAGGGGAGCCGGCACCAAGCCTGCCAGTGAGTGTAAAGAAACAGTCACCCAGCAGCAGCCCTGACTCTCTCCCCCCTCCTCCCTTTCCTGTTTCTCTTCCCAGTCCCTCCCTCTCTCTGCTCATCACCTCCCTCTCCTCACTGTTTTTCAACAGCCCCTCCACGTCATTCCCTCCTCCCTTCCCTCCGAGTGGCCCCTTGCTTGCACAACTGCCCCCTTCAGCAGCAGCCAGCCTCAATGAAAGGCTGATGCGCGTTTAGGTTGTCAGGACAACAGATCCATCTGAGGCCTGGCTGATTTCCTTAAGAAGAGGGAATGGAGCTTAGGGGTACTGCTAAAGAGAGGGGAGAGAAGTAGAGTCAGCCTACTATAAAAGAACAGTAGAAAGAGTACAGGGAAGGAGACGGAAGAGTGAAGAAGGCAAGAAAAGGGGATGGGGAGGCAGAAACAGGGAGGAGGATGCAAACCTTAGCACAGAAAACAGGGAAGCAGAGAAGGCTAGCAAAGTGGTTGGGATGCTTAAAGATGGGATGAGGAGTATAAAACAGAGGAAACTTGGCAGTAAAGTACAAGATTAAGCCAAAGCTGATTTCGTAAAGAAACATTCCTGGCAAGGAGATTACTCACATCTTGTTCATACCGTCCTCTCTTCTGCACTTTCTTTCACAGCATTAAAATGTTTGTTTTCTCTCCTTCTTCCTCCCCTCCCCCTACTGAAGCTCTCCTCCCCTATGAATGATGAAGGGGAGACAATGCTGGTATTGAGTGGTCTGGGGTGTGAATGCTTGGTTTGTCTTTTCCAGTGCCAGCATCACCAGCTGATCCCTGGTCCTAAATCAACCTCACTCTCCAGGAAACCTTCACTCAGCCCTATATATGAATTATATTAATGATGGTTGTTTAAAGATTGCATTACTATTACTATTCTTACTCAACTTTCTACTGGAGCTTGCTTCTCAGAATGTTCATAGGCAAGGAAGGCAATTTGTGTATCAAAAAGCCTGTCATTTACCTGGTGACATGAAGTCTGCATAAAGCTTTCTGGCTAGTGGTAGTCAAGGTAGCTATAATTTCTCTCTTTACCTCCAAGCAAGTGAAGAAGACCATAAGGGTCTTAGGCTGATTTTCATTCCACAAATGTCAAAATTAGTAGACATTTCCCTCAGAACTGATTTGGAGGAGAGAAAATGGGGTTGCGCTATCCAAGAACTTTTTTTTTTAATTGTTTTAAACTCTTGAGATAATAAATATGTATTTGTATACTTAAGCCATTTACATGATGTAAAAATGAAATGGCATTAAATAAATTGTAATTATTGTTCCAATCCCTGTTTTGGGACAATATATTACCTGACACAAATAATATTTCTGGTTTCTTGTATATTTTTCCCAAAATATTTCATAGACATAGAGATAAATTTAAATACTTATTATTGGATCTCCTTTACACAATTGGTTTGCCAAATACATTTGTCAAAATAAAGGAATATGTTTAGGAATCCTTCTCAAGACCAACAGAGTACAAGCCTTATGAGGGTTCTTATTATGTTGACATGTGATTTGTTCCTCTTGAATATTCAAAGAATTTCTCTGCTGCATTGTATTGTATTGCTGTTGTTGTTGTTGTTGTTGTTAAGTGCCGTCGAGTCGGTTCCGACCCATAGCGACCCTGTACAGGGTTTCCGAGGGTGTAAATCTTTACGGGAGTAGAAAGCCTCATCTTTCTCCCGCGGAGCGGCTGGTAGTTTCGAACCGCTGACCTTAAGGTTCACAGCCCGATTCGTAACCACTACGCTACCAGAGCTGTTGTTGTTAGTTGCCATCAAATCAGTACTGACCCACAGTGACCTTAGGCACAGCAGAAAGAAACACTGCCCGATCCTGGGCCCGCCTCACTACTGTTGCCACATTTGAGTCCATCAATGCTGCCACTTGGCTAATCCATCTCTTTGAGGGACTTCCACTTTTACCCTACCTTACTTGTATTGTATTGTTGTTGTTGTTATGTGCCATGGAGTCGGTTAGACTCACAGCATTTCTGAGGCTGTATTGTATTAGTAGTAGATAAACTTGCAAATAATAAGAGAAAAGGAAGGAAGACCTAATTTTTTTTTTTTTTTAAGCTTTTGAAGGGTTGGAATATGAATTGTTGAAAATTGAAGATTGGCTAAGGTCAAATAAATTTGTTTCTACTGTGCATTATTGCATTAGGCAAATTTGTTGCACAAGACCTCTTCAAAGTGTTCAAGAGTAAAGATGTCAGTTCAAGGAATAAGGTACGCCTGAGTCAAATCATGATATTTTCAATCACCTCATATGTATATGAAAGATGCATTTGGTTATGGTATAGGAGAAGAATATTAAAAGTACCATGGACTGCCATAAGAACAAACAAATCTGTGTTGAGAGAAGTACAGCCAGAATGCTCCTTGGAAGCCAGGATGCCCAGGTTTATTGTTTGTGGGAAAATAAGTCAAATCTTGAGTTTCGTTTCTAGAACCACTCTGAGAGAAGAATGGATCAAATTAACTAGGATTGTAATCAAGATAGTAATGGAAATGCCTAACCTACCTGAGAAGATGAAATCATAACCACATGCTCAAAAAGAAAAAAATAAAGCATATAATACAATTAAAGTCTTTTAATGTCTTTTTTAGATCAGCTCATTTCTTGATACCATTTGTTAAACTAAACTCACTGTGTATAATGAAAGCAAAGTGCAATAACAAAAGACTACTCTTAAATTGCTAAATTAAACCACCTAATAATTCAGATGAGATTCCTGAATAACTTCAAAAAAAATTTTATGTAAGTTAATTAGTTAATATCACTTTTATTCAGGAAGGACATGAAGTATAACTCTTTAATCCAACCCTTGGCCTGGAGAAAAATTCTGTAATAGACGAATAGAAGAATGAAAGAATGACTAGATGTCCAAGTCAATCATGTGACTTAGCTCACTATTTATAAAATACTAAACATACTTGTGATTTCACTACACATTTCTACTTGAACATTATGTTTTCTCATGAACTCCTCCTAGTTTTCTATTTCCCATATCTCACACTTCTAATAATTCAATAGTGACTATTTCTTGGGATAACATTTCATACTAATGATCACTCCCGAAATCTATACCATTATAAACTCCTCTACATGCTTTCTTAAGAAAGGCAGGAAAGAAAACAAATGCATGAGTTTCAGAAATGCATGGTGGTGGTGAAGTGCAGTCAAGTCAGTTCTGATTCATAGCCATCCTGTCTAGGGTTTCTGAGGCTGTAAATCTTTACAAGGGCAAAAGCCTCATCTTTCTCTCCAGGAGCAGCTGGTAGATTTGAACTGCTGACTTTGTGCTTAGCAGCCCAGCTTTCATAATCCACTATGCTATCTGGACTCCTTACTGAAGTGTATATAAGGTATTTTTTCTATAAACTACTATATAGATTCTTTTGAGAGGCTGACAAAAACGAACATACTTGTGGGCTATTTGTGAGGCAGGTGTGGCTATTAGCCATGTGAAACAGCCATCATCAACTAGCTAAGATGATCTTAACCACTACTTTAAAATAATTGCCTTTCTAAAAGAGGCTTTTGAAAAATCTGGCCTTCTCCAGGGACAAATGCCACTGGAAAAACAAAACAAAATAAAAAACCCAAAATTGGTAAATGTCTGAGCACCATAAGAAGCAAGAATGGTTTATTCTTGTGTTTAGCTTTGAAAGGTAATAGGCTCACATGAAATCCAGATACAGCCTGGAAGATACAAGTAATTCAGCTACATTGCTTGCATTTTATGCTAAACCTGTCCATAGCTCTAGTGGCTCTGCAGGTTAATATGCTGGATTGCAAAACTGGTTTGAACAGAAAGGTTGGCGGTTCAAGCTCACTAGCAGTTCCTCAGAAACCCTATACAGGGTCACTATGGGTCAGAATTGACTCAACAGCACTTAACAACAACAATACATTTCATGAGTTGTAAGGTCTTAATCATAAAATGCCAAACCTAGACTTTTCTTTCCTAAGTGGAATTAGCATTTCCATATGAACTGGAAATACAGAACTGTAATACTTATCCTTTGGATTCCTGCTCTGACAATCTTAATGATTTCATCATAATTTAACAATATTCCAATATCCCAAATTATGCTCAGAAACATGGCACTATCTCATGTGATTTCCAAATCTGACTCCTTCAAATACAGAAACTTCATTCACCTGTGTCTCATTGGTTAAAAAATCAGCCAACTTCAAATGAGTTAAGTACTGTTCACATCCTATCTATAGGAACCCAAAGAAATGTAAACCACTCAATCTAAATCCTACACAATTAAACCACTCTTTCAAGGCTTGCTGTTTCCTGCATACCTTTGTGGTTCATTCTGATTCAAACTAAGTCTCCATTGCTCCACTCATTCTGCTTTGATAAGTATCAATGCTTGGATCTTTCTCTTTGCGTAGATCTTTGAGATTCTAGAGTTGCTGTTTAGGCCCTCACTTCTTGCTTCTACTCCTGATTACCCATAAACATTCACACACTTGCATTCAATGATACATTTACATAGCCATAAAC